TCTTGATTTGGGTGCTACACCCAAGATTGTGACAAGCTTTCTCAGATGATTGCTGAAATTAATATTTTGTTAACTTCAGACCCTACTCAATGGATGACATCATTGGAGGGTGGCAAGTTACAGCACAGTATTCCTCTTCATAACCTACCTCGCATAATGAATGGAACCCACTGGATACTGATCAAATAAAGCTCAATTTTGATGGGTGCAGCATGGGCAACCCAAGGTTGTTAGGAATTGGAGGAGTCTTTAGAGATAGTCGGATTGTATTGTTATTATTTTCAGGACCTATTGGCTTTTGGGATTCCACAAGAGCTGAGATGAATAGATGATAGCAGTTTTACATGGACTCAGATTAGGGAAGAGGTTGAATATGAGAGAAACTTGGTGGTGGAAGGAGATTCCAAGAACACATTGAGCTGGCACGGAAAGATAATCAATAAACATGGCAGTACTGATACACCTTGAGAGAAACTATCCATGCATTAAGGAAGATGGTCATCTAAATTCACAGGGTATGTAGATCGCAAAAAGCATTGACTGACTCACTTGCAAAACAAGGGGGTAAACAAGTGTATTGGGGGATGACTAAAGAAAACTACATATGAATATAATGTAACATGGAAAGTGTGGATTGGGAGTAGAGGTTTGAGGGACTGCAAGGCAATTATGAATGTTTCTCATTCTTTTTTTTTTTTTTTTTTATAATCAATAAAGTTGTCAGTTAAATATAAAAAAAGGTTAACTTAAGTTTGTCCTATCAACTTCCACTTAGTGGGGAGTACTTATTCCTTGTGGTCTAGTTGCACTGTGGAAATTCTTCTTGCTGAATGCTAGGACTACTTAAGGTATTATGTCTAAGAGATCATGGAAACATAAGTTTTCTTGAATGTTTATCAAGACTCAACTGTGGTTCCTCAAATTTATTGGGCTTAAGCTTCTTTATTAGGGATGATTTCCCCCTATAGTCATCAGGTGTCTTGTACCTATTATTGCTTTGTTCCTGTAAGTTTGACGTTTATGGATCAAATTTGCAGTTAGATGGAAGTTTTCACTGTTTTTATTTTTAATTCAAAATCATTGGAGTGATCTCTGTACAATTCAACTCAACAAACCCTTGATGGCCATATCCATTCTAAATTGCAGAGATCTTTGTACTTGATGGGATTTATCTTGTGATCTTTATAGTAGCAAACATTAGAATGGCAAATGCCTTTGTTGGAGATAGCATGAAGGAGGTACTAAGGTCACGTTTGATAAACTGTATCTCGGCCTCTTATGTCTGAAAAAGTTGCTTTTCAGATGCAATGATCATTTGTGTTCTGCCTCTTACTATGCATTTGAATAACCAAAGAAGCGCGAAGTAGTTAGACATTGTCCCATCATGGAATGCAATCAGAGGCATTTCAGACATGTCAAAATGACCCTAATACCCATTGACAAATTTAATATTGACATTGGTTGCCCTTGTTGTAATCTCCATTTCGAGCCAAAGGGCGATAGAGACTTTGCATCCCTAGTTTGCAGACGAAACAGAGATGACATAGGTGATTGGAGGACAACATCTCAGGTGAGATTTTGGGTTTTTTGTTCACCACTTCTGATTCTATTTCAATCATAACATCCTATAGATTGGAAAAGGATGACTAGGGCTTTCTTAGACATCAACAATTGGGGCTTTGTCAGAGCCAACAAACGAAGAATCCATATAATGGACTTTCTCCTCACATAAGGTCTGGATCTCCTGGTGCAAATGAGTGGCCTTGGATAGGTCCAATTTCTTGGGTTCGGAGGTGAAAACTTCCTTCAAGTCCTTCAATTTCTTTGACAATTGAAGAACCCTGATGGTGGGCTGCAAGAGCTTGACAGTGTGGTGAATGTTGGAGAGCTGGGTGATCTTGAGGCAAAATTGACGGTGTGGATTGGCGATCTCCTGGTGGACGTGACAAACAGAGGACTGAAGGTATCAAACAACAGAGAGAGCATAGGGTCCTTGAAGGAGGAAAGTTGGGAGAGGAGGTCATCTGGTGGGAAAGGACATCGGAGTGGAGTTGCTTCTCAAGGGGATGGATGTCTTCTTCAAGCTTCTCGGCATGGGTGGCTGCTGAGCCAAAGTTGAGTGCTTGGGAGGAGAATTGGGGTGGAGTCGAAGTCGGGGGAGAGGAAAGTGGAGAAGATGGGATTAGAAGAGAAGGTATTGAGGGGGGAAAGAAGAGGAATGGGGAGTGGGAGCTTAATGAGTTGGGTCTATTTTCAAGGGCAAAATAGTAAAATTGACAGTTATCAAACCTTGGAAGAATACCCCTACACAAATGCTCTTATTTTTTCAGAGACTCTGAAAAGTGAAAAGTGTAAATTTTTCTCATGCAGTTCTTTAGAATTCTTGGGGTTGAGTAATACATCCAAAACATTTGACTCATCTTATAAAGAAAAGGATGGAAAATCAGATGCAAGCATCTACTTGAAGTCTTGAACCCGTATCGTTTATTTTTGGAATTGATTTGGCATGGTTTATTTTCTCCATCGAATATTTTGCGATAGAGTGCTTGGATTGAGCAAAAATGACAAACATTTCTTCCATTTCATAAATAACTTCCTGGAACATCTGATGAGAACATCTTGCAAATTGAATGAATCATCAACTGGGATACATGTGGAGGTTGTCGATGACACTTATTAGCTAGAAAGAACTTGTTGGAACAAGCTGTCAAATGACATTTCTTGATCCACCTTTAGAGGATCACCATGAACACTAGAAAATATATTAGGCCATTTTTATTTAAGAAGATTGATTATTTAGATTTTTGTGCTGGTGCACATATAAGACTGCTATCTTGTAGGTAAAGCTGTAAATAGGCAAATTGTATACATTGGTATCTCTGAGCTTCATCTGAGGCTGTGCTGATATACTCTTCTGCAAGACTTCAGGAGACAACCTCAAGGTTTACTGCAATAGAATTGCATTTCCATTGGAAAGACTCTGCACTCCATCAGTGCCTCTAATAACATTTGGGTCCTCTAACATCCTAACTAAAGGGGCTTGTTGAGTCTGTCTTTGGGGAACTACAGATTTCATTTACTTGTTGGGGCTTGGATGATGTTTGATGGTTCTGATAGTTTATTTCAAGCTGTGTCTAAGCATGCATTTTCTGTGTCAATCTTAACGTGTGGTCCTAGATTTTGGTAAGATGACACATAAGATATGAGAATTCTAGGTTCTTATGGTTCAGGTCTTAATGTCTATGTTAGTGGGGTTACATGATGATTTCATTCTTCATAAACTGGGGATTACTACACCAAAGCTACCTTCTGTTACTGTTATTATTATTAATTTTTGATTGTTACCTTCTGTTATGAGTTATGACAAACTGTTGATTATGATATGTTATTGCCCCTACTGATTTGAGAAAAGGAAAAGGACAATTCATGAGGGAACTCATGGATGTTAAAATGTTTTATTTGATGAGACTGTTTACAAGAGAATGGAGGTGACCTGGGGGGTTTTAGATTTTCTAGGGGCCTTACAGATAGCAAGTGTGTCATCAATGAAAGATGTGATTCCCTTGATCAAGATATGGACCCCAAGGGCATTTAGTCTAGCTCTACTAATCCTCTTGTTGAATCGAATGGTCCTTTGAACATTCCCTACAAGGTGATTTGGAAACCCCTATTTGGGAGCTTTTTCATGGAATTCTTGCTGAATTTTTGTATCATGGCCCAGAAGAGGGGAGAATTAGTGACTTAATCTTCTTCTGTTGCCAATTTGTTTATCAGATCTTGGATCATATTTTTATCTGGTCACCATGTAGGATAATCTCTGAAGATTCTTGGAAATTTTTATTCTCTTGCAGGACTGCAGTTCCCAACAAGATGCAGGGTCATGTGAGGTATACTTGATGCTAATGTTTGGGGCTTCTGGGATGAAAAAGAATTCCAGAATATTTAACAACATATCTTGGGACCTATGGAGAGCTTGTTGATTTGGTCAATAGTTAAACATTAGGGTGTCTTATTAGATAATGAATATTTACGAGTTCAAAGGCATTTTGTTGACTAAACCAATCACTTTATAAAGCCAGGAGAAGAGGTAGGACTAGGTCCTTCTAAGTTTAGTTGTTTTCGTTTTGATGGCTGCTCCTTGGGCAACCTGGGCCATCTGATAGGGAGCGCCATCAAATTGAGGTAGCACAGATTTCTGCCTTTCTGGGCAGCAGGTTGGGTCTACTTGTTCATTTGGGTCCTAAGATTATCTTAATCCTTTTGCTGATAATCTTGTCAGGGCTGGAGTAAGGAAGGGAGTAATTGGGGGGGGGGGGTTGAGACCTGGGGGTGAATTTTTTTTCTAGTAATTTCTTTTTGATTTTTGTCCTTTTATATTTTATATTTGATTTTTTCTTTTTTTTTTACATTTTTATTCTGCAGTAATTTCATACTGCAGAATCTATGCCTTTGTGGTTCTGTTTGCTTTAGTTTCCTTCCGTTGAAATTTTTGATAATTTATAAAATTTGGATAAATCTTTTTTTTTTGGTAGTATGAAATCCATATAAAGATGGACTTAAACAAGGTGTAGGATCCACCTACTACAGGACAGTTAATATGGGTATGGTATAACTGAAGATTTTTTCTCAGAAGTGGTTTACCATATTACACAAGTAGTTTCTTGATGGAAGAAAAGAAGGCTCCCTATAAACAACTCTTGTTATACTTGTCAATCTATAGGCAAGAAAAAACAATAAAATAGAGATCTAAGGCAGGAGGGTGACTTTATCATACGACCACTCTCTCACCCATATCATTGTCTCATATCTAAGCCAAAATATGAAGTTTACCATAATTAGTCACTCTCCTTGTAATTGCAGATCCCCATAAAACTAATTACATTACAAAAAAGCTGTCTTTTCTGTAAGCATACTGTTTATGTACTGTCTGGTTTTAGAAGTTCTGAATTCAATGCTCATCATGATTGATAACTTCTGATTCTTCATTACCTTAATTGCAGGCTGAAAGTGCAATTGCTGCCCTCAACTGTAGTGGTGCAGTGTTGGGATCTTTGCCAATAAGGTCTGTTTCCTGTTCTTCCTCGTGGTGGTTCTTAGGCTACTGTTTATAACTCAAGTTGTCAACTAATTGTGACATGGGTTGTTTGTAAAAGTTGCCTTAATGTCGCTTGTGTAATGTGCATTCAGGGTAAGTCCATCAAAGACACCAGTTCGGCCTCGTGCTCCTCGCCCATCCATGCACTGAATTATTTTGAGCGTGTCCAGAATGATTGTTACTCCTACGTTGATATCTAAGTATACGTACACATATATACAGGTAGTTATTATGGTCTGGATGTTTAATTTATAGTTTTGTTCTTGGCATCTAGTCTGGGTTCTTTATTATCCATAGGGGGTAAAGGATTGTTCATGTAGAGTTGGATGGAACTTCGAGGCTTCCAAAGAGTTTATTCATCAGTGCACATTAAGATGAACAACTGTAGCCTGTAGGGCATATCCCAAAAATGAGTACTCTCAGAATGTTTCTTACTTTTACCCCTTTTGAAGTACTTAGGAAGATGGGTTTAATGAAGGTCTCTTTGGTACATTTTAGATGCAACTTATAAGCAATTTAGTGATTTCAGCGCTAGTACTAACAAAAGGTTCTAGTTTCATTAGTCTGGGGACAATTGTATTCATTCTTCGCTGATGGAGTCTTACAAATGCCATGTCTCATCTACCACTTAAAACTAGATATTTCTCCCAACCTTGGTGGCTCAATTTCCAGCTATGTTTGGGACTCAAGGTTTTAGAGGTTTGATGCTGTAGTGGCAGTGTTTTTTTTTTTTTTTGTTTTTTTTTTCAGTTGTGTGGATTCAGAATCAGAAAAAGGAGTAATGTGAGTGTCCTTGTGCGCATTCTTGTTCGGTTGTTCCCAGGCAGAGAGGGTGTGAACGGACAGATTGCTATTGAAGATGACTTGAGGTTGAGGCACGCATTTGCCTCAATATGTGGATCTTGTCTCATTTTTCTTTCCTTTTCATATATCGTGACTCGGCAATTCATTCTGTGTGTGACCCTGGGATTGTAAGGTTATGATGACCCGCTTATTTCGTACAAACGCTCCACTTTCATGAAATGAGTATATGTGTTTCTTCACTCGTTCGTTCTGTATACCAATTTATCACCAGGTTGGTCCTTTATCAATGCCCTGCCTGCACTCTGCAAAGGTTAAAGCTTGTGCTTCTTTCTTTCCTGGGTGAGTTGTGGACTTTGCCAGATTGGGGCCGGGTTTTGAGATGTATAGCACATGGCATAATAAGCTATGCAAATAAAATTGTAAGGGAGGTAGGTTTATCTTTTCTTTATACAAAAATGAAATAAGAATTACCGTGGGAGTGATAGGTTAGCTATAAGCTATACTAAAAAGAAGGTTTATGGTTTCTCCTTTAGCTCTGCTTAGCAATGATTCCACTTTCTTAGTAAAATATAAAATAATAAAAATAGTTTGAGATTGGTTGCAGATGAAGGTGCCAGCTGGCTCAGTAAGTTCTTTGACTGGTTCAAGAAGAGACTTGGGAAAGAATCTCGCCTTCACCTAGGTTTGGGGGTAGGGGTTTATAGTAGACTCGTGAAGCAAAAATAATAAAAAAAGGATTAGTTGCAGTTGCAGTAGCAGATAATAGGCTTAATTGAAGGAGCAAAAATTTTGGGATTTCTATGCCGTTTTGTGATGATGATGACGATGATGTGTCATGGTTCTTAGATCTTCTCCCAACCATAATTCCTTAAAAGACAAATTGCCAGTCGTTTTGCTACTTAATTATATACTTTGTGGCGTGTGCCTTTGAATGGCCTTTCTGTAACCTTGTCAGCTTCTCTGTTTATCCATACCATCTCTAATTGTTTATATCTCTATCTTCAGCTCTCACACGAAACAACGAAAAAAAGTTTGTCTTGGTCTTGGACGAAAGCCAATCTCCCCCTCGGATTCGTTGTTCCACCAGTTTCTTTTTACAAGAAACTTCTCCACAACCTCGCATCAAATTCCAAGATTTTGAAACAGCGACTGATGCAGACCCGCATGCTTGACTTTTGACTTTGACACAGCAGGAAAAAAGGTATCACCCTCTACCCCCCCTCCTGCCTTGGATTCCATACATGTCTCTAACAAGCTCATAAAAAAAGGTGACAACACAGATGAAGGACAGTAAAAGTCTCAAGTAAATTATAGATGAAAGGAAAAAAGAAGATAGAGAGAGAGAGGATAGCTGAAAAAAGAGAGACAGAGGCACTATTTATGCAATGCCTCTCATTAATGGAACTTATTACCTCAACTCTGAAATCTGAATGATGATTTTCATTTTCTACCCAACAAAAAAAAACAAATATTCTGAATGATGGATGGGCAAACAAATAAAAGAGAAGCAAAATTACAAGTTGAAAAAAGCCAATCTATCATGAGTTGGTCTTTCTTCTTGACAAATCAATGTCGGTAGACAGTGGTGGTCCGATCGAAGACATAAAAAAAACCAATCTTTCGGGCCAATTGCTGCTAACTAAAGCATAAAAGAAAAGTGGTTTGTTATCATCATCGGAAGCCCCGTGCATTCCGAGACAATACGAATCAGTCTAAAAAATCAGTATCAACACTAGGTCGAATCATTTAAAAAAAAAAAAAAAAAACACTAGGTCGAATCCGAAGCCAATATTTCGTTTCGACCTCGTTTTTCTTTCTTGACTAATACAGAAATAAATGTGGCCTTTTATCCTAAACGACCAAGACTCTCTCTCTATACCACCTTACCAAATCCTAATGACTACGCTATTGATACCATGGCTGGCACTGGCAGAGCTCTCTCTCTCTCTCCTCTCTAATTGACAAGACTGCCGCTATTTTTCTTCTTATCTGGCAAATAAATGGCAATACCAATAGTACCATCCAGGAATTCGTCTGAATAAAAAGAATTCCTGATGCTGCTTCTCTTCTCTCCACCGGGTAATCGACAAAACTTGGTCCCTTCTTTTTTCCCATGTTAAATGAATCCTGTCAAGAGTGACGGAACAAAATTGCAGTATCCTCTTCGTTAACTAAAAAAAAGGACTAAGCTGATGAAGTATTCTGCTAGGGGGTCGTTGCCTCAGCGGCTTGTGAAGCACTGGAACCTGTCATTGCCGGCGCCGCTCCTACCGTAATTGTCGCCGAACCTGTTGCATTGTGGTCTCATTTGTTATTATCGACACCACTGGAAATTGAGTTTGGATGGATAAAACGAGAATTAATTAGAAGTTGAATTGAATCAGACACAAAGCTGGGTTTAGAAGTTGGACCGGTGGTTGTGGTTGTGATTGCAGAAGCAGCTGCTGAGGCGGCGCCACCACCACCATAATGCTGAGGCAAATATGGGTAATGAGGTATCATCTGGGGATAATGAATCCCAAAACTCTGTCCTTGAGCTTGACTGCTGCTACCATGTTGTTGGGTGTACAATGGATAGAAATTATGGAAGATAGCAGGAGCCCCCGACGCCACAGCAGTAGCAACGTAGTATGGCGAAAACTGCTGCTCCCCATATACACTGTAATAGTTCTGCTGCGCATCAATGCCAGAAATTTCAACTCAGCATTGCAGTGATATGAATGTACATGTAATGTATTGTATGCCTACATGCATCATGCGTGCACTGTGATATTGTTGACATACATACATACATAACATATGCATGCACGTGCATTCAACAACCTCATTTAATTAATCTAGGATAATGTTTACACTTTACAGTAGGGAAATACCAACCATGGGGTACATGCCTTCTTGTGAATGACCTGAATACCTGATGAAGGATGAAGAAGGGAAATTATTAACAAGAGGATGAAATGCAGAATAAAGAGACTAAGAGAGAAATAGAAGGCAAAACTCTTCTTCTGTTTACCCGTAAGTAGGATAAGGAAATGCGTACTGAGCGGTGGGTTGATGGAAATACGTGGAAGACGAGCCATGATAAGCGGGCGGAGCAATCGATCCCGGAACTGGTCTGAATCTCCCCATACCTACAATTTTTGTTTTATAAAAGAAAGGAGAAAAAGAAAGTGCATGTTAATGCCCTTTACAATTCATTTTGTGATCCATTAGTTTCAGATGAATATCTAGATCGAAAACGTTGATGAAGATTGAGATATAACTAGTGCATTTGGGAATTTGAATTCAATGCATCTGCTCAAAGCAAGGAGAGAGAAACTAAGACTAGCAGTTGATTGATGATTAATCTGCAAAACAGATATAAAAAATAAACGAAAATTGATTCAAAGGAAATAGATACGGCACAGACCATGTTGTTGAGGGGTGGATGGGTGATTCCGATGTGCACCAAGAGACGCGAGATTGCAGTTAGTTCTCCTTCCATCGATCACTGGGGATGGATTCTGACAAGCCCTCGTTGCGGCATCCGGATCCTTGAACGTCACCTAATTAGAAATCAAGAGCCCACAGTACTCTAATATATCTGTAATTGGTTAAAATCATAAAAGGTGTGAAAAACAGAATTGAATGCCATATTGCCATTAGCGAGAGACTTTTCTTCACACTTACAAAACCGTATCCCTTGGATCTTCCTGTGTTCTTATCGGTGATAACCACAGCTTCTTGGATCTCCCCAAACTGCTCAAAATAACGTCTCATCGTTTCTCGCTGAGTCTCCCAAGCCAACCCACCAACGAAGATCTTTGTGTACGTTGTATCTCCGAACTGCCCAGCATTTTTGCCGCCAACCATCTGGAATTGTCTTTGTTGTTGAGACATGAGGAGGAAGGAAGTAAAAAAAAGAAGAGGGATGATAATAGAGCTCCAACCAATAAACAATGCAATCCACCCAGCAACAACCGAAAAAAGAAAAAGCCAGAAAACTAGAAGAATACAGTACAACAAGACCAAAAACCCACAACCCCAAATTTGCTTTTTGATCAAAAAAAAAAAAAAAAATATATATATATATATATATATATCAGTCAATCGACCCCAAGAAGATCTATGATCAACTCTCGTTCTCCTTCTTTCTCTTCTTCTGCTGCTCCTCCTGCTACTACTTTTCCAAAATCAGACCCCCTCAGATTCCTCAACAGCGATACCCGTAACGAGAAAATCATTACTGGTGAGGGTGGAAAGGAGGAGATGCAAAAGAAAAGAAATCAAAGCATCGAAAGGAAAACTGTGGAGGAGAAGCGGAATAATTATTTATAATCAAGAGAGAGATACAGAGAGAGAGAGAAATAGTAGATACAAAAAGCTGCAGTGGGCACCCACGAAAACAGTGGCATAGTATGTCCAATGAGAAAATTTAGATCGATTTCTCTGCTTTCTTTTATCTATATGTATTCTACATATCAAAGCTCAACTTTTCTTTATAGGCTCCTCCGTCTGAATAATTTCTGCTTCGCTGTATTCAACCTTTCTTTTCGCTCTATCCATCTTTTGTTTGGTTTAATATAATATTATTATAATAGTATGAGTTGAGAACAGAACTGATACCTTGACCCGTCCTTCTTTCTTCTCTCTCTCTCTCTCGCGTCTCGTCTCTATTCCTTGTTCAATGCAATGCCACCCCACCCTCGTCCTCTCTCTCTCTGTCTATCTCTCTGCTTCGTTCGCCCTGCAGGCTGCAGCTGCTGCAATTCTCGTAACCGAAAGTGCAGGCGGGAGCAGGAGGTTGTATGTTGAATGGGAGCAGGGAAAGAAACAAAAGCAAAACGCTGAGACTTCTTTTCCTCTGCTCGGCTCGACCTCCAAAATCTCCTCTCCTCTCTCGACATAACAGAAGAAATAATCATAATTTAAGTTAATGAATCAAAATTAGAAATTATAAATGGAAAAGGAAACAAATCTGAAACTCAAAACGTAAACAATTAGCAAAAGAAGAAAGGAAATTAAAAAAAATTGTTTTCTAATATTAATAATAAACTGAAATGGAAAAGTGACGGGATCTGCTCCTCGCACTCGGACGCTTCATGCACATTCATCGTGCATTGAGAACATCTCGTGGATAATAACTTAAAACGGAAGATGTTTCCAGTAGAATGTATTGTGAGGCGCGTGTTAGGCGCCTTCTGTGAGAAGCAGATCCAGTAATGTTGTTAAAAAAACCTGCAACTGAATCATGACTGTCGCTACCGCACAACGGCTTTGGACTGTCGAGAGATCGGTCAAACCTCTCTCCCTCTCTCTCTCGTTTTCTCAATTCTCACCTCCCTTTGTCGGCTCTCGTGGCGGCTACTTCGCCGCGCTGTCTCCCTTCCACAATCCACAGGGAAAAAAGGGGTCTTGCTAAAGTCCGCCTTCTTGGTGATGGAATCTTAACCTTCACCAGTGCTTGTATTGCACAAATTTGAGTTTATCTTAAAATTATTATTATCACAAAAAATAAAATACATATCGCATAAACAATTATTGATTAATGCAATGTAATTATATTTAGAACCTCAAATTTTTATGTAGAATTATTGAGAGCAAAACAAAAACAAACTCCCAGTCAACTAAAAGCAACCAATGTTAACATGTTGCATTAAAAATCATGTGCTGTATGAGGTGATTAGGGCTTGTTTTGTTTTGTTGTAGATCAAAACAAAAGTAGAGGACCATCTACAGCACATGTCATACAATGCAGTGCTGTATGACCATCTCAATCTATTTTGTTGTAAGTTTGGAATAAGGAAACCAACTGTGGCACATGCCATACAAAAGAAACCAAGAATAGGTGATAAAGTTTGAAAAATTAGAGTGAGATGGTGTGATCATATGCACACATTGGAATCTGTCTGTTACAAGTTCAAGGGACTAAAGAGTTAGGGACAGACTGAAAAAGGAGTTGGGCGAAAGAATATGATATATGATGAATAGAATGGAATGATCAAAGGGGATTTATGTAGCTAATCCCATGTGGTTGGGACAAGGCTAGATTCCATAGTTGTACAAATGATGCATGACGGTAACTATTAAGAGCGACATCCAAAAATTATAAAAAAAAGAACATGAATATCCATTGCCGATAACACATGCCAGATGGCATAAGTGCCAGACCTCAAGAGATTGAATTGGAATTGGCCTACTTTAACTCACATTTTTTTTTTCCGTTTACAATGAGAATGGTGGCCATGAGACCTTGGCCGTGGCAAATGTTTTCAATCCTAATGCTTGTTAATCCTGCTCTTCAAAATCCTCTTCTTTCCTGTGCCTTTATGTAGGAAAGAGAAACAGCACACTGGTTCCCTTCAGATCATCTTGTTTTCACTCCCTTTGCTACTTGGGTTGTTTAGCAGAAATGTTGGATGAGCAAGGAATCTCCCACATGGAAGTTCAAAATTTCCCTATGGCTCAGTTTGGAAAGAGTACAAATACAAATTTGTAAAGTACAAAATCTTGTATTTTGTATGTATTTGCACTGTACATATTTGCATCTGTACTTCTAGACTGAGCATATAGGTTCCTATCACTACTATGCTCTGTCAATGGGGTAAATTTTAGCCCCCAAAAGATAGCCAAATGGCCAGAATAAACCCTGCTTTTAGCAAGTTTAATATTAAACCACTAAAATATTCTGCTTTTGAGCAGAATAAACCCTAATCTGTTGGTGCTTTACATTTTAGAATGAATTGGTATTATGATTTTCCTCCTTTTCTAAAGAACTAGCTAATGTTCATGACAATTTTAGATGTTGATGATATATATAATATGTTTTTCAATTTTTTTTTACAATCTTTTTATACTTTTTCTGTATAAAATAATTCTTATTTATCATACTTATTTTTTGATAGAATTAATATATGATATGAGAGATGCCCCCAATTGTTTTCAATAATTTTTTTTTTGTATTTTCATAACTTTTATTTATTTCTCTTTTTAAAATTTTTATTATTTAATTGTTACATAAAGGATTAACACATTTGACCCAAAAATGTTGAATTGTTGATCTGCCACCAAAAGGGAAAATAGTTTCATTTTTGATTACTTTTTTAATTTTGCAATTTATTCCATCATAATAAAAACGATTCTTCTTATCACACTTGTTTTTTTTAATATAATTAACATAAAATATTAGAGATGCTCAAAGGTTCTCTACAAAATGTATGTATTTTTATTTTCTTTTTGCAATTTTGCATGTCTTTTTTTTTTAACTTCTCTTATTTAATTATGAGACACATTCGACCTAAAGGGTTGAATTGTTGACCTACCACTAAATAGGAAACAAATTCAGTTTTGGGTTGGTTTTATATTTTATATTTCATTTCCATCATCATTAAAAAACAATTCTTATTTATTATACTTATTTTTCTTTAATATGATTAATACAAAATATTAGAAATATGAACATTTTTATACTAATTTACATTTTTTTTTTCATTTTTAGTATTTATTCCATTTTAAAGTTTTACCATTTAACTATGACATCACAAGCTAACCTATTTGATCGAGATGGTTGAATTGCTTATGTGCCAATAGGATGGAAGAATGGGTTCATTTTTAGGTCAATTAAAAAAAGGGGGTTGGACTATGATGCTGGGAAGGTATGATACCAAAAAAACTTATAAACCAATCAACTAGCATCATAAAAGTAGTAACCAATTAGGTGGGCTTTTGTCAAAATTCACATGGGGTTTTGATTGATCAAAGTCTCTATGGTATCATGTCTTTCTAGCATCATTGATCATGGGTTTATATTGTTAAAAGTATTGGATATAGATCAAATTGATAGAATTTATTGGAGATAAAAAATAGTATAAATATAAGATTCAATGAGAGAGAATGTGAGTTAATACTTCAAATACAAGATTTAATGATAGAGAATTGAATGAGGTAAAAATTAGTAGCTCAAATTACATTTTCTTACCTCACAATTAGAGAGGGAGCAAATTCAAAAAATAAGATTATTTAAGTGAAGAATAGAATTCAGTGAAAGATAATGGGAATAAATACTTTGAACTCTTGAATATAAGACTTAACAAGAGGTAATTGGGTGAGGTGAATAGTAGTTCAAATTGCATTTCTACCCTCACAATTACAGTGAAAACAAATTTAAAATGGAAATATTTTGGTCAATTAAAAATTCCACGTCATGGATTCATACATCATATAATATAAATAGTTATAAATATAGCTGGTTTAGCTGCTTAAGGAATATTGTAAATTCCTTGGATAAATGAATGGAAGGCACACAAGACGAGAATGCAGAATAAACACTTAGGCTGAGTTTGGAAAGAGTACAAATGCAAATACGTAGAATGCAAAACCATATATTTTGTATTATTTACGCTGTACATATTTACATTTGTACTCTTTCCAAACTGAGCCTTGTAAAATTTATCCCATAAAATACCCTCCGCTTACCATTGAAACAAGGGTACAACTTGGGTGCGCTTGGGTTTGAGTTTTGTCAAAGTTTGAATGGGCCTGGCCCAAAGTTGTGTAAAGTGTTAATTAGGGCCAACCCAAATTGAACCCCTATATGATTTAAATAAAACTGTAAGACAATTATCAGAATATTTATTAAGTGCTTACTTAAATGTGCTCACAATGGTGTGCCTATTGAATCCTGTCTTAGTCTATTTAGAGTATCTACTAGTTGATGATGATAGACAGCTTAGATTTGCCACATCATTCCCCCACATGACAGAGATAAGACAGGTCGCATAGAGAGTTTCCTTAATTGACTTGATTGGGGAACCTATTTCATGCATATACACATATTATTTGACGAGGGAGCGGTAGATCATACAGGTCTCCCTACCTTTATAAGCAATCAAATGGGCCCCCTATTTCATGAATGGATGGCCAAAAATTTTAACAAGTCTCGTTACCAAACTTTAGAAATTAACAGTGGTATAAATTAATATAAATCTCAGAAGAGATCTGAGGTGGTAAACTTTTATCTTTCATTTCAATTATTAAAGCAATTACTATTTATCAAAAAAAGAAAAAAAAGACAATTACTACTTACTACATAAGGCTTATCTAAAGACTAGCTAGCTTCAATAAGCCGAGCTTGAGAGTGGGATGTCCAAGAAAACAAACATATATCAGAAATTAATGTGGACTCCGTGGTACTATCCACATGAAGCCTGTAAAGCAGAAAACTTGGTCAGAGGCAGCACATGCCATAGGATGCTACATACATTGCTATGCTACCACCCCAACTGTAAATTGCCAAAAACCAAAATCTTCTTCTTCTCCTTGTGTCTCTCTCCATCTCCACAAGCTTAAGGTCCCAGGCAGGCAAGCAATATAATAACACTGAGGACTCACGAAATGCACAAAGAAGACAGAACCTGCACCCATCGGCCCTTAATTTGTGGGTTATGCATCTCTCACGGCCCCCCTCACGCCATCTATCTCAAAATGGAAAAATGGAGTGTCTTTTCTAGATTAATGCAATGTTTTTACCGTTATTCATGGTTGTGTCCTTGTTAAATTTACTACTCCCGTCTCTTTCTTTCTGTCTCTCTGTCTGTCTGTCTTATTCATGGTCGGATGTCGCGCATGTGGAGAAAGGATTTCTTTTCTTTTCTTTTTCTTTTTTTTGGCTGGGAAAGGTGGTAGGGAGGAGGTAACATGGCCAGCTAGCTATGCCTATGCGTGAAAGGGTTTGGGTTTACTCTATCCCTTTTTACTTGAAATAATTACTCAAGCCAGCCAGGTTGTGCAAAGCAGCAATTAAGTGAAATGGCTCCACCTTCTTCTTTTTCATCTTTCTCTTTATGACTTTTAGAGAAAGGCAAGATCTCTTGGACAGGGTCTTCTGGTGGGGCTGCTGACAAAAGTATATTAAAATGTAGATCTCTCCCCAGATCTTACATGTGGCATCTATAGCTATCTCCATTTCTTTATTCTTATCCCAACAACATCTTTTTATATATATACATAGATTCCAAGATACTTCAAAGCAAAGCATCAAATTGTAGGGAGTTTAATATGGTTATATGGATGGATGGAAAGTCGAGGTAATATATAAATTATAAAATGAATGGGGCAGCACAATTACATATGGCCAATCAAGTGCACTACTGTATGTATCCTGATCCTGTCCATTCATTCTTTTTTAAACAAATGTTACTTTTTCTCTGCTGAGAAATTATCAAGTCAGACTCCTCAAAATGCTGCTCATTATTCACATATCTGGATCCAATGGTGAACACAGTTACCACCCTATGCCAATTAGGAGTGTTAATTGGATTGGATTTGGTCCAATATGATCCAATCCAATGTGAATTCATTACAAATGTATCAAGTCCCATTCAATCTAATGAAATATTTTAGACTGGTCCAATTTAATCTTTTATCAATAGATCATATATTGACTTAATCCAATATAAATTTATTATGGATGGACTAGATCTAATCCAATAAGTACTTTGGACCATTAAATATGGACTGGTTCAATTCAATGCCTTATTGGTCTGTCCAATCTTATCCAAACGAATTTTGGTTTGGAAGGATCCAATCCAAAACCGATTCATTGACACCTCTACTTTTCAGGTCCCAGTTTACCGGTTAATCTCGGATGATTTATCTGTCCAACCCGTCAAAACTGTCATTTAACTGGGACCCAGAAAATCCACCACTTCCCAGTTTTCACGGTCCAACTGTCCAATCTGGGCTGAATCTTAAAACATTGGTCTATAATTCTGAGCACCAATAGAAAAAGAACTCATGAGATCTCTGCAAGCAGCAATGAATTTCTTGAAACGCCAAAAAGTGGGGAAGCCTTTCTCCAATAGAATGAACCTCAACAAGCAAGCTTGCACCCAATCGTTGCTCTATGAGAAATGGGCCCATCCCATTTTTCTGATCCATAGATTCAAGAGTAATTACTTTTTTTATTGATTGACGCAATTAATTTATAATAAAAAATGATTTTTTTGGATAAGAACAATAAAAAAAAAAGACTATGTTGATGTGCTTCAAGCCTTCAACAACAAATTCCTCTTTCATACTGATTATCTGGTTTACCAGAAAATTAGTTATACGAAGACACACAAGCGCAAGGGCCGGAAGGCTGGAAGCAGCTAGAGATGTCAACGAGTCCGGTTTGGGCTGGGTCCACATAAATACCCAGATCTTAAACACTATTATCTGCATGAGTTCTGGGCCTTACTATTGGTTTAAGTGGACCCAAGTTTGATATGGACGGTTCACAGAAGCAGCTAATTAAATAGCTGAAATCAATGGGGCTCGTAAGTTAAAATTGGGGCATATATTTTAGGCAAAATTCCACTTTAGCATCCTGAATTTTTGAGCTAGTATTAAGTTAGTATCCCAATTTTCAAATGTGTCATTGTAATACCTAAAATTTTAAAAAAGTGTTAAGTTGGTCCCTGTTATTAACCGACTGTCAGTTATCTGTTGAAAATATCAAAACTATCCTTCAAAAGAAGACATTGTTTATTGTCTTCTATCCATGGTTCAAAGTATCGATATGTCTCTGTGCATCGGCAGAGGCGTATCGGTACTTTGAATTATGCAGAAATATATATATATATATTATTTTTTTTCAAAATTTGGTTTTTGGGTAGTTTAATACCCATATTTATCATTAAAAAATAGTGGGGTCTTGCAACACCTGTAAACAGGTGTATCAGGACCCAAAAGATACAATACGATACGCCCGATAGGGGCGTATAGTATCGATTTTTACTTCTATCTTGAGACTGAACCGATTATCTTCAAAGAAAAATAGAGAAAAAACATAAAATATGATAGAGGGAAACAATAACCGAAAACAAAGAAATAACTAGACAAGAATGTATTTCAGAGTGTTGGATTGACGTCATAGATAACTATCTATTAAAATTAAAATCCTGTAATTGGTAGACTACAAATACAGAGTGTTGGATTGAATGGATACATTTGGGTTGCACCCATATTATTCTAGTTTTAGTCATCATGAAACATCCATCTAATCTGAAAGGTGTAGAAGGCATCTCAACGATTTTCCATCCATGAGCAGCTGAAATGCTTCACTAATCTTAGTGAAGGGAAGCTCGTGAGTTATAAATTCATCCAAATTCACCTTCTGAAACCACCCGATAACACAAGACGATGAGGTTGAATTGCCAAAAGAATATCATAACAAAGTAAAAATTAAAAAAAAAAAAGCAGAAATGCAGAATTGTAAAAAGCAAAGAGTACTGTTAAGCTACTAACCCCACGCATGCATTGCTCTGCAAAATGAGGCAACTGGGTTTTCCCTTTGAAGTCCCCAAAGACTGATCCAACGAGTTTCCTCCCATCAAATAATTCCATTGGATGGAAAGGGAGCATCTTTGGCGATGTATGTACTCCCAAAATTACAGTCAATCCCCATCCCTGTTACAAAAACTCGTATGAATGCATGCAGAAGGGAATAGGGATGGCTTCTAAATAAAAGGGATGATTTCATTGCATGAAATCCAGAAATGATATAAGGATTTGTTTGCTTCGTAGTCAGAATCGAAATTAAAATCCTTTAGAATTGGAATGGTCTATTCCTGTTTGGTTCAGACAAAAATGGGATTTCATTCCCAAGAGAGAGGCAGGGAATGGCTGTTCCCTCAAATGGGAAAATGCCAGTAGAAATGGGAATGGACTATTCCAATTCTGATTCCAATTCCAAACCCCTATTCCTGCGAATCAAATGAGGTATAATTTTCTTTCTTAGCAATGGAAAATGATTCCATTTTTATACGGTAAGTCTGTGCTCTCTATGTGATAGTATAGTACAGCCGTTTTATCCGTATTCTCAAAACTTGGATCAAACTCAAACATACTTTTACTTTTTCCACCAACGATCCATGTGGGATTGCTGCGCTTTATTTATGCAAAGGATGAGAGAGAGATGGTTGGGCTGTAACATCCAGATTAGGGTTTGTCATCCCTTTCTCTTTCAGTTGGGTTGGGAAAGCCTAAAGAGAAGGAATAAAATAATCAAGCAGGGAAAGGACAAATTAAGGGCCCAAGGAAGCTAAAATTAGCCCATGTTCCAACATAATGGAGGCAAAGGATTTAAATTAAATGGAAAAGAAGAACGAGAAGGCTCAGCTATAACTCGGAATAGGCTAAGCAGTAGATCTTTGGTAAACCCCGATCTCTGCCATATTTTGATCCCCTATATATACGGTCCATCTGAAATTGGTATTAAAAATGGGGAAAATTATAAAAACCTCTCCTGTTTTTTATGATAATTTATAATTCTCCCCTATGTTTTGATCTTAATAAAAACCTCCCTTATAGTTAAAAAAAGGCATAAAGATCTCCTTTTTCACTAACTTTGTAGATGGAAAAAATATGATGTAATGTATTAAATTATTTAAAATATCAGATTTATCCTTGACCAATTTCATTCAGATGTACATTTACTAAAGTATTCCAAAAAGAACATATTTGTTTTTTGTTTTTTTTTTTTTTTAAATTCAGTTCAGGCTTTTACCTTATTCCATTTGTAAAGAGTAGTGAGAATTACTCTTTCTGAAAGTTGATAGACAGAATAAAGTAGTAAAGGGTAAATTTATTGCCTCCATTATTAAAAACTAATGGTAGGGAGGTATTTGCACCTCTTTTCAAAACTATAAAAAGGTTTTTATTTGGATTAGAAATTACAGAGGAGGTTTTTATATATTTTTTCCAACAAAAAAAACAAAAGGGTTCTTCAATCTCGAAAGTCCAAAGTAATATATTCCAAGAATGCAACAAAAGCTAGTATGAAATAAGAGAGTAGTATATACTATATAGGCAATTCGTTTGCCTTAGTTTTTTCTTTTCTTTTGTTTTCTTTTTGATAAGGGGCGTGCAGAGTGCTTGCTTCTTTTTGTGGTGTGGTGTGCATTCTTTGTTTTTCTTTCAGTGAATTAGTAAAAATTGGAAGATCCATCTTAGTGATGGGTAACTGCCATGCACATGTGTATATAAAAATAAAAAGAATTATCTTTTAAACTTGGATGTGAAGACAAATCAGTATGCACATTATATGGTAAAGAGTAGGGTGCAATTTGGACAGGCTCAGGTTAAGTTTTTATTAAAAATTGAATGGGCTTGACCCAGAGGTCCAAACACAAAATAGTGTAAAATGTTAAGACGGGCCAACCCAACAAGTGGCTTACATCATGGGTGGAGAAAAAAGCCTCCCGGAGAACTGCCGAATCGCCTGTACACTCAAAGCTGTAGTCTACTCCTCCTCCCGTCATTTCGGCTATAATCTGCAGCACAAACAATGACACATTGCACATAGAAGAAGATTTAAAGCTTTCACCTGCATATACACATTCTGCGTTTATCAATTGACGGATTCTCTCTCTTTATCTCTCTCTCAATATTATCATCTTGATAATTTCTCAAACAGTTAAGAAGGATAAAGTTCTAAACCCGAAAAGTTCGAAACCCTTAAGAGCTGTGTATTTCAGTGTATCCAAGTGAATTATACCTTTATCTATGAAAATGATATGCCCATATTTTGATCCTATTGGGTTCACAGCGGAAGACACGGTTCCCAGGATACAGCAGGTAGATGTAATCTCGTTTGAATGATAATGAAATATCATGACTTCAATAGTTGAATGAATTAATAATAAAGCTACCAGTATTACCTCATGGACTGGTCTCTCCAGGTCCTTCGGGTTTATGAAATCGGTGATTCCCAGCAATTTGCCTACACACAAAAAGGAGATGATAAGGAGTAAAGTTATACCGGGGCTTTGGTTAAATAGTAAGACATAAATGGTGTTTATCTATTGATTTATTCACCTTTTCTTATATTATATGGACTAAAACATCCTTATTTATATTTTCTAACGGACAAAATTTTAGTTTGGTGATTTCATATCCAACTGATGGTGACTTAGTTGGTAGAATCTCTAACTCGTCTGAGTAGAGACCTGAGATGAGATGAAGAAGAAAGAAAACAAGACTATTAAAATCATGGAATTGCTTTAGAGTGAAAAATACCTTTGATGAATTTGCTCGGGTTTATGTCGATTCCGATGATTCGAGAGGCTCCTCTTAATCGTGCTCCTTCAGCCACCTGTAACTTTGTTTTATTAGAAATGATACCTATTAGGAAAAAAATAGAAAGAAAGAAAGACCAAAGTAATGGTTGAAGTCTCAGACTTACAGCAAGGCCCACGGCACCCAGCCCAAAGATGGCAACGCTGGACCCAGTTTGCACGTTTGCCGTCTTCCATGCAGCTCCAACTCCTAAAACCCAATCAAGAATAAAAAAATGTAATTAAGGCTCAGTTTAGAAACAGTACAAATGTAAATATGTACAGCGTAAATACATATAAAATATAAGGTTTTATATATTTACATTTATACTTTTCCAAATTTAACCTCGTACAAATGTAAATATGTACAGTGTAAATATATACTAAATAATATAAAATATAAGATTTTACACTTTACATATATTTGTATTTGTATTTTTTCAAAACTGAGCCTAAGCAATTTTACTGTCGTTGCTGACTTGCTTCAGATTATTAATTTTAAATTTTAGTCAGTGTAGTTGTGTGATGGGCCTGAAATTCCTCCTCAAGGAGGCCCTTTGAACCATGACACTAACTACTGAGACGTTGTGTGACCATTTGGATGGGAATATCTCTCCCCTTCTATTGAAGGATTAGGCAAGCGGATGGATATAATGTTGGAAATAATTTTATTGATAAGTAATTATTTTACATGGCTATCCAAGTATTTTTATTTTTATTTTCTGGTCCAATGGCAATGACGATATGACATCCAAATTTTTCTATTTCTCTCTTATATAAATCTTAAACTTCAGAATGCATTTGACATTTCTTATTTTAAGAATTTATCTTGTTTTTGCTATTAAAAATTCAGTGTTCATAGAAGTATTTTAATTGCAAAAAAGGAGATAAGTCCTTAAAATAAGGAATTTCAAATGCAGCCTTAAACACTTATTAGGTTCATGACTTAATAAACACTGTTTATGACGTGTCCAGAAATTGTTTTTGCTTGTTTTTCAAATAGTCATATCAACGAAAAAAGAAAAAGAACAAAAAACATGTTATTGAACTCTGATTTTGTTTTCAAAAAGAGAAATACATTGTTTTTGTTTCAAAAAATATATGTTTTTGAAACCATCAAAATAATGGTTTTTAAAATAAAAATAAATTTTATAATGCAGAAATCATATGATTTAAAGAACATGATATTAAAATAGATGAAAAACATGTTTTGGAAACTAGGAATTTAAGAACATGTTTTTTATTTCAGTTTTGAAAACAAAAAATATAGACAACCAAAACCATGCCTTTTTTTTTTTAATGTTTAGAGAAACAATCTATTTTCAAACCAAATGAATGGGCAACAAAGAAAACTATTCAGATCATGGTAAACGGTAGAGCACCCTCCTTAGTCAGAATTGCCTTATCTTGACTATGGGATGTGAGCCAAAAATAAGGTCTTATGAGCAGCCACCGCAATCTTTCTCCTATCAAATGAGAGCGGATTAACTGGAGACAAAATCATACACACCCGAATGAACTACCTATTACGAATAAACATGCCACGTGAGTCCAGATTTCTTACTCACTTTTTCTATCCATTCTCTACCTGCCTTGAATTGTAGCCATACATCTCTCAATTTATAATAGATATATGTGCCTTATCTTGACTATGGGATGTGAGCCAAAAATAAGGTCTTATGAGCAGCCACYGCAATCTTTCTCCTATCAAATGAGAGCGGATTAACTGGAGACAAAATCATACACACCCGAATGAACTACCTATTACGAATAAACATGCCACGTGAGTCCAGATTTCTTACTCACTTTTTCTATCCATTCTCTACCTGCCTTGAATTGTAGCCATACATCTCTCAATTTATAATAGATATATGTGCCTCCAATTCACGGTGGATAGAGAGTGAGTAGGAAATCCCGACTGGGATCCCATCTATACTGAACACTAACGTATTGAGTTGTGATAAATACTCCAGCCTGATTTGTACAATTTTTTGTTCAGCCCATCAGAACATGTCTTCCACACTAGAGGCCCACAATTAGCTACTTTCTCACTTAGCATTTATGGTCACTTGTTAGTGTGGGCATTGTCGTGGGTTCCACATTTGGGGATCTTTCTGTAATTATGCAATTATGATCAAAGAGATACAAGTGACCATCTCAACCATTGGGTCATCAGCTCTCCAGAAAACAAAAATCCTATCAACACTAAAAGCACAGAAATCAGCCCTATATAAAAAATATCTCCCACTACAATTAATATACAAGCACGGGATGCCATGCTCCCCCAATGAATGTGTGATACTGGTTTGTTTTAGTTCTCAGGAGATCCGTGCTTGCTATACACGGGTGCAACAGCAGATCAGTGTCTTTGGGAAACAAGGTTTTTAAAACCCAACCGGACAATGCATCGGTCAGGGGTCTGATTTTCGGGTTGAATGGTCCGATCATTTAAACTGAACGGACGATCCATTGGATGATTTCAACAGTTTGATTATCTAAATCAGCAATTTATTGACCAAATCAACGTTTTTGACAAATTAACGATTCTGGGGTAATGTGACCAGTTCCCGGTTTTTCCGGTCAGATCCGATTTTGAAAAGCATGTTGGGATCGGAAATGTCCAATCACCTATGTATGGCTGATCAATTTCCATGGTTTCAGAGTTTTTGCTTATAGGGAATCTCGTGGCTTTTCACATAAATATGAATGCACCTGTCACTCACAGAATGGAAGTAGTGCAAGAGCTCTCCTTCACAAAACAATTGATCAAAAGGCAAAGATTCTCCTATGAGTTTGAAATTTCCAAAGCGGGTGCTCCATCTACTGAATGGAAAGGCAAAGGTTTCTGAATTCTGACAGACAGATGAATCATGATTGGTGAATGGGATCGGCACCAGAGACGAAGGCGAAGAAAAGTCAGCGTTACCTGTAGAAACTCCACAGCTTAGCAAGCTCATATTCCGTAGATGAGCATGTGGGTCGATCTTCACAACACAGGCCAAGTCGAGAACAGTGTACTCGATGAAAGTGGATGTGTTGAGGAAATGGTAGATGGGCCGGCCGTCGAGCGTCCAAAACCTTGTCTTGCCGTCATTTTCCATGGCGACTTTCATTGGGTTTACACGGAATCTCTGACAGAGGTTGGTTTTCTCAGACTTGCAGTAGGCACAGTCGCCGCACTCGCCGTTAAAGATGGGAATAACGTGGTCTCCTTCCTTCATGTCCACCACTCCTTCGCCAACGCTCTCGATGATCCTACAACACGTAAAACGTGGTGGTGAATCAAGGGCAACCCATCCGAAGCTGAAGATCGAGAAGCCAGAAACGGCGATAGATAGAGAATTTACCCGGCCGCTTCGTGACCCAGTATCCGAGGATAGGCTCGTTGAGCTTCGTTCTTTAAAAGGAACAGAGGAAGAAATTAATGTGGAGTTAGGAATTTATATTAATTAAAATTGTGAGTATGGTAGTTATGTGAGGTTAATTAGTTTCTACATTCTACCTCGCCTTTCCAAGCGCTCAGATCGGTATGACAGATTGATGTGAAGAGGATCTTAACTCGAACCTCCATTTTCTGTGGAGGATCCACTTGCACTTTTTCCATCACGAAGGGTTGTCCCGGACCCCATACAACAGCACCTTCAATATGAGAACAGAGGGAGAATTGAAGAATACGAAGAAGAAGAAGAAGAAGAAGAAGAAGAAGAAGAAGAAGAAGAGGAAAGACCAAGTATGAAATAGTGGCTTACCCTTGCAACTGATGACCTTCCCTCTCGTCTCATTTGGATTGAACTTGCCATTCGCAGTAAACAAACTATCCATCTCTCTCTTTTTCTCTCTGTATGTATGTATGTATTCTAGATTTTTAGATTTATAGTAGCATAAGAACCAACTGGACAAGTTGGGGATTGACTTGCTTTTAATAAATAAATTGTCTCATTCTTGGGAAAGCTTTATATTTATTAAACCATATTCTATATACGTATTAGGACTTTAGGGTGCTCCTCTCTCTGACTCCGAGACAATCGACGACATGTGGGCACCTGGCTTTGTACTTAGGAATGGGGAATTCGAATCCCGTATTCATTGGTGCCAAAATATCAACTCCTAAAATATTTGTTCCCCCTGTTTCCCCCTTCCTCTTTTTAATTTGAACCTTTTAAAGCAAAGTGCCAAACTCGTTGGTTGTAAGGCTTCCAAGTGGTTGTAATGGAGTTTTGAAATCAAATTTTGCCTGCACCAGGGTTTAGGGTTATGGGTTGGGATGGATTGTCTCTCGTTGTGTAGTTCCATGAAAAAAAAGTTTAAACTTTAAAAATAAAAATGGAATTCATAAAATATTATCATCATCCTTATTTGTCCTTTCCTCTGTTTGGGGGAGGAATTTAGATCATCTTTCTGTATGTTTTGTCTGTGGCTTTGAATCATATATAGGGAAAGTGTAGATGACAACCGAAAATGGAAGAGGGATCTGCTGCCAACACAACAATATATTTTTTTTCAAACAAATGTGGCACACCATAATACGTATCTAATTTATTATCTGTTAAAAATATATTATATGAAACAAACAATGTTTCACATTTTACAACGTATGTATAGTCTATTAATTTATTTATACTAATATTTATTATATATAAATAATAAATATTATCTTAAGCATAATTCCGCAATTTCATAGTTTCATATGCACCAGCGGGCTGGTTGGCTCCTCGATGTCAACGCTTGCAATCAAATTCAACCCTATTGCGTATATGCATGTGTAATTTTCATTTTTTACCTTCTTTCGCATGTGCAGTTTTATTATTATTTATTTATTTCTCAAAAACGCCCATAGACTAAATACATTGTAGTTTTTTCCTTCTATTCTAATGAATTAAAAAAAAAGAAAAAGTGCATAACTAGTGGTGGCAATTGTTCAATTTCAACCCAACCTAAGCCGCCCAACAAGACAGAGGAGATTCTTAGTGGTAGTAGTGGACTACTTCAAAAAGTGGGTGGAGGCCGAACCTCTTGCGAAGATCACAGCATGTAGCGTGTAAAACTTCTTTTGGAGGAGCATAGTGTCTCGTTTCGGACTACCTCGAGTGCTTATCTCTGACAACGACAAACAATTCGAGGACATCAAGTTTCAGAACTGGTGCAACCAGATGGGAATACAGTAGAGTTTCACCTCGGTGGCGCACCCTCAAGCAAATGGTCAAGTGGAAGTCACGAACAGGGCCATTCTCCGTGGACTGAAAGCACGCCTAGCCCGAGCTAAAGGACTATGGGTAGACGAGCTGCCCAGTGTACTGTGGGCTTATTGAACCACTATGAAGACCACCACGGGTGAAACCCCCTTCAACCTCACCTACGGCACGAAGGTAGTGATCCCAGCCGAGATCGAGGTGCCTACGCTATGCTTGAAGGCATACGACAAAGAGGCAAACGATGACGAGCTACGCACCAACCTCGACCTAGTTGAAGAGGTACGCGACCTCGCATAATCCAGACCGCGGCCTACCAGTAGAGAGTGGCTCGGTACTATAACGCCAGAGTCAAGAGGCGGAACTTTCGTGTTGGAGACCTGGTTCTTCGTAGTCATGGTACCTGAGCCCGGTGTTGGTAAGCTCAGACCGAATTGGGAAGGACCCTACCTTGTAAAGCGGGTGCTCGGGGAAGGTACATACGAGCTCGAAACCTTAGAAGGAAAATAGGTGCCTCGGGCGTAGAACGTCAGCAATCTAAGGCGGTACTATCTGTGATCGTCTAACTGGAGAAAAGACTATAAGTCACTCCTAGAAGTCTAAGGACTAAAAGTGCCGAGCTGGTAAAAGACCTCGGCATTGTATAAGCCCCTGTCGCCCCTTCGGCATGGGCAGAATCAAGAAGGGTGGACAATAAGTCGTGCCCAAGGCCTAAGGGCTAAAGTATCGAATTGACAGACTCGTCACTCTATAAGTCCCAGTCGCCTCCTCGGCATGGGCACCCAAGACCTAGTCGCCTCTTCGGCATGGGCATATAAATCCTAGTCGCCTCTTTGGTATAGGCAAAATACCTCTAAATGCCTAAGGCATAGATAGCTTGGGTATAAGCCCTACGATGTCTAGCCCATTTTGGCATATAACAATAGGTTGGACCCGTTAGGGACAACCGACATCTAAATGTGTAGCCTGTGCGCGGACAGGTCGGGTATATACCTTGTAACGCCACTCACCTCGGTGTACATTACGTGAAGTTACTCCTACTAGTTGTCTGGGCAAACACTTTGGGGTAATCTCCACTTAGAAAATTTCTATAGTTGGTTATCCTTACTTATTGTCCAGCTCGGTAGCTCGGTAGCTCGGCAATTCGGGTAACCTATACATTCGCTACCCAGATCGGGGGACACTCACACTTAGAATATTTTTATGCAAGGATTAGTAAAAAAAGTCTATGTTTCATTAATGAAGTGATTGTAAGTACAAAAGATCTCATTGCGACCCGAGCTCAATGGCTTCGGGGTGTACATCCATGATTCAAAAAGAAACAAAAAAGAAGGAAAGACTGTCAAGCGGGAGGACTGCCAGCCACATCCGAGGGGTCTACTACTTCGACCTCACCATCGCTCTCCTCCTTTGACGAGTCAGGTTCCTCGTTCTGGCCACTCCTGGAGCTAAGCCCACCATCGTGATGGTACCGAGGTCGAGATCAGGGAACTTCTGTCGGACTAGATATCTGCACAATTTGAACCCAGAGCGGTAGGAGCTTGAACCGTATTCGACTTGAAGAGCGCGGAACTCCGAGGACTCCTTGAAGCGTTCAACGGCTTGATTCCTCTCTTCTGACCGCGCCTCCTCGATGGCGGTCTCGAAGATCTGAGTACGCTCTTGGACCATTGCTTCGAGATTTTTGACTTCTCATTGAAGTCGTGCCTTCTCCTCGGTCATTGTCGCGATCAGCTCCTCTTGCTTCGCGGCCATCGCAGAAATTCGCTCCTTGTGCTTAGAATTCTCCTCGGTCAATGAGGAGATCTTCCCCTCCTGGTCCAGAATCAGCTGTTTCTGGCACTCAGCTCCATTTTTTCCCTGAAGTACCTCACCCCGGGCTAAGTCCAGCTTGCGGTGGAGCTTTCATACCTCCACCTTGGCGTCTCGAGCCTGCTTTGAGTGGATTGCGGACTGACAAGCCAATGCATGAAGGGCGGAGTTGACCTATCAAAAGAAAATCGAGGTAAGTACAAAAGGAAAAGAAAGAAAGAGAGAGCGAAGGCGAAGGCAGAGTGCTTACCACCATGCAGTGGCTGGAAGCTAGTCCTAGGAGCCGGTTTGGAGGCATGTCAGCCCATCGTGCAACCTCGTATGGATAGACGGCGTCCCGGCTCTTGCGCACTGCGAGCACGTGGTTCGTAATGCACTCTTCCTCGCTAGCAGGGGCGTGCTCTGGCTCGGCAATAGGCCCCTTTGAAGTTGACGCGCCCTCTGGTTCCTGAGGATGAGCTCCCTCCTCGCAGCCCTCCTCCCTAGGGGGCTCAGTAGAGATTGGCTCCAAGGCCAGGGCCTCGGTTGCTCCAGACGTCGAAGGTTCAACTTCCCGATGAAGTCTCTTCGCAGCCTTCCGCTTCTTCCCCTTCCGAGAGCTCACCAGGAGGCTCTCTGCGTCGACCTTTGGCATTGTAACTGCAGAAAATAGTTAGTCAGTCAAAAAACTTAAAGGGTATTTTAAGCAAGTATCCAAAAGGAAACCTACTAGGAGGGCTCAAACCAGCTCACACCAGCGCGTTCTCGGCCAAGAAGTTTTTCATCTCAAGACCGAGTTCCCTCCACGAATTGATCACTGCCCCGGTCTCTCCGTTCAAGCACACCCCGGGGTCTTGAGTAGCCACCCTCCAGTGGGTCGGGAAAGACCACCCTTCCGGGTTACGAGCGATGAAGTATCGCCTTTTCCAGGCCGGAACCTTGTTCGGGCAGCCGTGCAAGATTTTGAATCCGGGCCTGGGAGAGATATAATAGTTCTATCTGACGTCCTTGCGTAGGCAGGCCAAATTTCACTTGATCGCGCAGATTGAGCAGAAGACATCCAGGGTTAGAGGTCAGCCGTAGGAGTGGAACAAAGAAATAGTACCAAGGATATTCTGAATAGAGTTTGGATGAAGTTGGTCAATGGTAATGTTGTAGAACTTAACTACCTCTATCAGGAAAGGGTGGAGTGGAAAGTGCAGCCTTGCCGCGAGCTGCTCCTCAGAAACGGCATGCTCATTGTGATCATGAGCCCAAGGGTACTGACCTAGTGGTAGGCTAAAGACTAAGCTATCAGGGAGACGATAGCGGGACACCAAGTACATCAGCCTATCTGAAGATAGTTTAGAAGGCCCGAAGTCATCAGGGTTCCGACCTCGGGAAGAAGTCGGGGCCCTCGACCTGGAGGATGGACCCTCTTCCTGGGCTTCGGTCTCCCCAAGCCGAGATGGCTCAACCTCGGGGTCAGAGGTTCCCTCTAAAGATTGAAGAGGGGAGGTACCCTGCTGTAGGCTGACTTCCCCAGCAGGAACAACGGTGTCCTCCACCTTGCTAACGCCATCTATAAGCCTATCTACGCTAGAACTTGAGATAATCGGAAAACAGGAAAAAGCTAAGGAAGGGAGACTCACCGAAAACAAAGAACGAAGTGGGAAACAGAAAGAAAACCGGGCTGGAAGACTCCGACGCGACCTCGGGAGAGCTCAATTGCAAAATTTGTGGCGGAAAAGATGAGTCGCAGACCCTCCTATTTATAGCCGCTATGTCAGAGAATTAACGGTCGAGATCGAAGCAATCCAATTGCTCCTAAGAAAACCGGTTGTGCGACCCCCGAGGGTAAATTCGGTTTAGCGCGTTTTTTGACGTCCGTGGAGTTTGTAATTCGCGTGACGTCCGCACGT